GGCTGTTCAGTTTGCAAAGGAGGTGATCTCTCCAGCAGATGGTCATGGCTTGATTGCCTTTGGTCTTTTCTCTTAGGTGTCTTTAACCTTGAGTGTCATTGCTAGCTTTCCTTGGCAGACCACGAGACTTCCACTCAATCTCTCGCTTTTGAAAGTTGTTTTTCAAGCACAAAACCCAGCTTGCTCCAGGAGTGTGTGTGTTTGGTAATACAGTCAGGTGATGCCCTTTTTTAGACAAGTATTTGTGTAAACCCGGGGTCACAGGTTAGTTAAAATAAGGTAGAATTTCTTCCTACTCTGGGAAACGAGTTGGGGCTGGAGCATTTCAGATGGAGATGTGGTGATACTCTCTAACATCTGGAGTCTAGACCTCCCTCTTATTGTATGGTTGGTTAGAGCGGCAGTGCTGCTGGTCCCTTTACAGTGGCGTATAAGCACAGACGAAAGGAGAATACTGGACATCTGATGCTATTAAGCAGAGTAATTTTAATGAAAATAGGAAATAGTGAGTAACAGAAAGAATAAGTTTGCAGTTTTATAAAAGGGTCTTCAGCAAGCACAGTGTGTCCGATGCTGGATGATGCTCTCTCTTTGTGGAAGTGGTGGAATTTGACAGTCCAGACATGTTTCTTGCTCGCAGAGCTGCTTTTAAATCATGTTCGCTGCCAGATGAGGCACAGCATGGATATATAACAGGAGTTTCTCTACTAAATGTCATCTTTGGTGAAGTTTATAGCTGAGCAAACTGGACTTGTTTATGGTGGTTGCAGAAACTCCTATTACTATGGCAATACAAAGTGGCTGTGAATTAACTTAAAAGGCACTTTACTCACACATGAAAGTCTTGCTTTACTCCATCAACATGCTGTAAAGATGCCTCAGTACTTGCTGTAATTCAAGTTGCCCTTTAGAGTAATAGTTGAAGAAACAGGAGATATTAGAGAGGGTTACGTATGGGGTAGTCTTATGCAGCCTGGCACCCACATATCCCACTGAACTCAGCCAGAGGCATGGGTGCTTGGCGTTTCTCAGCACCATAACCTTAGCCGTGAATCCGTGTCCTGCGTTTCATCTCTTGGTTGCTATTTCTGCTTGTTCAGCATGGATAGCAGTTTCAATAGATGTATCTGTTGCCAAAACGAGAAGAGAAGGGGTAGCCGTACCCAAATCCGTACAGGTCCCCATACCCATAATAGCCCCCATAACCAATCAAGCCTCTGTTCCCATAGAGGTTCCCAAAGCTTCTGTAGCCGTATGGGCCCCCATATCGGTACAGGTCCCGGTAGTAGCCGTACGGGCTCCCAAATCGGTAGCCGTTCAGGCCCCCAAAACCATAGAGGTCTTCATAGCCAAATGGTGAGTAGTTCCCATCGTAATAGAAGTCCCTGTAGAAAGTCATTGTTCGTTGATGCAGGTAAACCTGAAACACACACCCAGAAGCGAGGTGAGTTTATGGGCTGCTGACAGCAGGAGGAAGGGCTCAGAGGTCAGACAGAGCTGAGGAAATGCAACTTGCCCCCTCCTGCAGGTCTTTTCCATCCTCTTAATCATCTTGTTTATTTTTCTAATCTCCTGAATCCCAAACAACTTTTCTGTTTTCTTCCCCTCAACTTTTGAAAATGACTGACTATACATAGAAAATATGGTTTTCACCAACTGAGAACTGAACTCTCCAGCCCCAGAAGTTAGAGAAATTTGAATAAATTAAGAAAAATATGCCAGTTCAGATACTGATGCTTATTCAGATGAGACCAACAGCCTGTCACATGCATGCCCTTATCTCCCGTAGTGCTCTGTGCCACCCGATGTGGGATAAACTCAAAGAATGCAACGAAATGAAGGAATTTCCTTCCAGGATGTCTACTTGAAGTAGTAAATGTTTCATAAAGTTTTTATCTAGGGATTTGAACTCCCAACACCTAATGAAAATAATCTGGAACTGGAAATTTCTTATGACTTCAGAATTGTGGCAGTAACCTTCAGATTATTAGTGGTTTAAAGCCTACTATTAAATAAGCACAGGAAAAGCAAAAAAGTTTCAGTGAAGGAATTCCTTGATGTTGCAGAGAATTTGTTTGTGGTTAGCTCCAAAATGAGAAAAAATTGCTTACAGAACATCTGTACGTATACATACACACATTACATATATATATGTACACACCAGTGCCTTTTTTTTTTATATATATATATATATATGTCAACGCACACAAATATTTTTACAGACAAACATACATACACGCAAATATACGTATATCAGAAAGAGAGTAGAGTCAGTATTGACTTACCTGGCTCACTGAGGGGAGTAGCTTGAGAGAAGCGAATAAAATTTCAGAGTTGTAGGTCCGTATATATACCTTCTTCAACTTAGGTGTTAGTTATATAACATATCTTGTTGCATGCATTATTCCTTCAATTGATGTAATTGGAGTCAGTGATTTTCATATTTTCAAAGTTTGATGTTATGACACACGTGTAATACCTTCAGAATTTCTTTCATCTTAAAACAAGAAGAAATGGGCTCAGCACATTTCTAGTAAAATTGCACGGAATTCTTTGTAGTTGGATGGATAGGAATAATTTTGGGAGACATTTAGACCATTACTGGTTGCGCAATCTGCTTGTAGGTGCTCCATTCGCTTGGCTTTTGCATCTATGGTGCAACACGTAGGGGAGAAAAGGAGTAGGCTTGTCTTTGGTGTGCCGAAACGTAGTAGCCCTTCTATTCAGCGTCATCATGACCTGTACATACTGCCTGGTGATATTGGTGGGGATCTCTTGCTAGCAGCTTGCTTTGATTTTTTTTTTTTGTCTCAGGTTCTACAACAGTGAGTTTGAAGAAATTTTCTAGCTCCCTTATTAATGTTTCCAAATACTTCTTCCTATTTTAGAAGAGATTTTTTTAATAGTTTTTGACTTTCATATAACATATAATGCATCTCCTTATTAGGACTTAGAAACAAGAGACCTTGATGTGTCTTGTAAGTGACCATATTATTAAATCTGGGGTGTCTTTTGGTGACAAACTATTAATATTTAAATACTGCAACACTTTGCAAATTGAAAACATTAATGAGTGTTTATGAAGTGCTTTGGTATTCAAAATTCTGAGGAAGCCTCAACATCCTGCTTGCTCATTATTACCCTTATTTTATATTCAAATTAATGCCAGAAATTAGGTGAAGGTCATACAAGGAGTTCTGCAGTAAATTCCAGCATTCCTCGCTATTGTACCGTATTTGATACATGTGGTTGACTCTTTATGTGGAAAACATTAATATGGTTCCTTGGAAAATAGCATTTAGTACATCTCGCAAAACCCTTATCATTTATTATTTTCCAGACCAAGTTCATACTTGTATTCTCCTCTTTGTTCTGCAAAACTCGCAATCAAGCCCTCTAGTGAACTAAACTGCACACAACGCCATAGTCGTATTTCTGTTGAAAATATTCTTCTCATGCAGCAGCGTGACTTTTATTCACCATGAACTCTTTGGAGGAATGCATGTAAGATTTATCTGTAGCTTGTGCTGGTCCTGTTTCCTGAAGTTGCTATGTAGTTTAATATAAAATACCTAAATATATGTTCACATTTCCTTTAAACAGGAAGCCTGTGCCATGGTGCATCAGAGTTTCTGGTGAACAACAGATATTTTCAAACATCTGGGAAGGTTTTCCTTTTAAACTGAAAATTTCTCTCCCTCCAATGGCTTTGGGAACTTATAAATGCTTTTATATTATATAAAAATAAACTTCAGTTTTGACAGTGAAGACAAAAAAATGGTATCAGGAATGCAGTTGGCCCAGAAAATTTTAAGATGAAAGAAACCTGTAATATATGTGGCATATGGGAGGCTGGGAACACACTAATAATCCCAAACAATGGAGAAAATTATATTAATTGAAGATATGACGTGTACAGGCACATTTGTTTTCCAACCAATAGGACTACAAACCTTTTGAATACACAGGGCGTCTTAGATAAGCCAGGCGGGCAAAGAAACAGTATAAAAAGGGCTCACAGCTCTAGGCTCCTCATCAGCTCTCTTGCCTTCCTCCTCCCGGTGAACTTGGTAAGCCTTTTCTCCATTTAGTCTCTTCATAAGGATTAGAAATTTTGGTTTAATAATTTATGTTAGGGTCGTCGTGGCTTTTCTGAAACTTAAGATTTCTCTGTACCTTGTACCTGTCCTTACTGCGTTGCGGGAACTGGCGGATTCAAGTTTTAAAGCTGGGGCTGAAACTTTCCTGGTCCTGTTGGTGCCTGGGGTATCTGGCTCCCTGATAAGGATCGCTGGCTGTTAGAGCTGCCGAGCTGCCTCCAGCAGAGTTAGAGAAGGGTTTCCCCACCGTGGCCCTCAGTGGGTTCTTCCATAAATCTTCTGCTTTATTTTAAGGGAGGTCTTCGGGTCTGTTTGACAAGACAGCAGACGTTCTCATGTGTGCTAATGCTCCGTAGTTTCTTGCGTGTGCTCTCAGCATTTCCAGATGCCAATCCAAAATTGGTGTAGATTACTGAAATGGGATTTGGAGCAATGGACCCAAAAGCCAAAGTGTGTTATCATGGCAAACATCAGATGCTTTAAGCTTTCTTGAAGACTTTCTTGGAGGATTTGGGAATGTAGAGCTCTATGCAAAGCCAATATCCTGAAAGAAATTTAGGATTGTTAACTCCTAACAATATTCTCTAAGAAAAATCCTGAAACAGCAGCAAGGAGGTTTTGATCTGTAACAGGTATATTTCATAGTCGGTGTTTTCACCGATCTCAGTAAGCGAGAAAAGAAATAAAACGGTTTAAAAACAGTAGGTAAATGAGAAAATGATAGAAATGGGATGTAATAAGGAGCTAAGGAATTTGGTCACAATTTTGCTTCTGTCCTTGGTCTCATGGGACCAGTGAAGAAGTCTTTGGGCTCTGAGACTGTTACTGCCACTGGAAGTATTTATTACTTTTGCTTTCCTCCCTGCTGCTGCATTTTAGGTTTGCCTCCATCGCAGAAAGATGACTTTCTTCCAAGGCCAATGTGAAGATGACTGCTATTCTCCCTGCAATTACGGGAGCCTGTACGGCTACCGGGGTTACGGGGGCCTTTACGGCTACCGGGGTCTCTACGGCTTTGGGGACCGGTACGGCTATGGTGGACTGTACGGTTACCGAGGCATTTATGGCTCTGGGGACTGCTATGGCTATGGGGGTCTGTATGGCGGCTATAGGGGCTTCTATGGGGACTACTATGGCTACCCAGGCTTTTACTATGGCCGCTATGGCTACCCCTTCAGTTCACGATACGGCCAAAGGTTCGGCTATGGCAGCTGCTACTCCTGCTAAACCCAGGGGGAACGTCTCCGAAATGAAGATCAACCCAGGCCTGGCAAACTTGGATTGACGGCGAGTCTTGGCAGCAGCGGTCCCTGATGTGCAGAGCCCTGGTGACAGCAGCCGCCCTCCACGTAGGCTTCGAGTGCTCTGCGCTGCTGTTGAAGTGCTTGCAATGATTTATCTTTATTCTGCTCTGTCTCTGTTTGCTCTCTTGCCACCCAAACTCTCCTTTTGCTTCTCCATTATACTGCAGTTCTTTGTAAACTGGCTTTTATGTTTGTTGCAATGATGTACAAAACATTAACTCTGAATGAATGGTATAGGCAGGGTGTAATGTGTCTTTGGGAATGTAGTCTTTGTTCTGTATGCCTGTGTGTTCTGTATATCTGCCTTTCACTCATATTAAAAATTATGCTGCATCAATACTGTATTTCAGGTTTTATTTTATTTTTCACTTGCATTTCTTAAATACCTTGAAATCAATAGCATCACACAGATTGGGTGACAAAGTTATTAACTTTGGGTACTCAAGGATTTGCTTGTAGAGACTTGCCCTCCTCAAGCTGAGAAACATGGGCTTTTGTAGCTGCGAGAAACTTCAGCTGTATCTCTGGTTATGCATGTTTCTACAACTCCGGGCTTTCGCTTTGGGTATTCCAAATAAATGGTTCATTTAAAATACTTCAGTGCTGCTGTTGGGCTAATGTGATGTGATTAGGATATGATCCATCACTGGCTGTGATTTGATATTGAAGAGGTTCTAGGTAACTGCAAATGTGTGGACTCATCAGGTTTTTAATTTTGAAAGAAGTTTGTGTTTTATATATTATCATAGAATTATTAAACAGCCCAGGTTGGAAGGGACCTGGAAAGAATCAGGGTTGAAAGATTAGGAGGATCCTCCCTGCTGGAGAAGTGGGAGGAATTTGCCCTTTGCAGTGTAGATAATTTGGTCGGAGAAATGGCTACCCAGTGGCCAGCACCTCTGAGGCACGGCAGCAGGGCGTTTTTGTCTGTCCGTTCAGGGAAGCGTACTCAGAGCCCACGTTTTGGAAGGAAGCAGAGTCACAACTGATTTTTGCTGACTTTTTTTTTTTTTCCCCTCTCACTGAACGTTATGGGCAGAGGCTGTAGAACCTCTTGGTTCTACAACTAAGAGGCTGCGGCTGTATGAGGAGGAAGATGATGGTACTTTCTCACTACTTCCATGCCCAGAGGCAGCTGGCAGACAAGAGCTACCAAAACACCCTGGGGAGATTAAGTAGTGTTTCACTTGTATTTTTTTTTTTTTTTTTTAAGGACTATTTGCCTCTCTTTTTCCACTTTTCTTAAAAAACTTAAAAAGTTTTTTTTTTTTTTTTAAGCAGGGCCTGTTGCGACAGGACAAGGGGTAACAGTTTTAAACTAAAAGAGGGGAGATTTAGACTTAGATATAAGGAAGAAATTTTTTACAATGCGGGTGGTGAAACACTGGCACAGGTTGCCCGGAGAGGTGGTCGATGTCCCATCCCTGGAAACACTCAAGGTCAGGTTGCTCTGAGCAACCTGATCTGGTTGAAGATGTCCCTGCTCGTGGCAGGGGGGTTGGACTAGATGACCTTTAAAGGTCCCTTCCAACCCAAACTATTCTATCATTCTATGATTCATTCTGTCTTCTAGCTTTTAGTCCCTGGATTTAGTGAATTATTGTAACTGCACCTGTAGAAATGGATTTTGTTCTACCCAGTGTCTGTGTGGAAGATCAAGACAGTGTTTTGAGTTTTCAAGGCCAGCATCAAGACAGGAAAAGCCACCACTTCCTCCTTGATGCTTTTCTCCTTGATGCTTTTCCCATTGCTTTTAATATAGCTTTTTATTTTTTCTTATGTTCCACTGGCTGGTAATGAAATTTGCCTGTTAAATTGGAATGTGGTAGGAAATTGTGACTCTGGGACAAGAATATTTGAATTTGGTTTCCAGGAATAGGACAATATTCTGCTCACTTGAACATTCTTATATACTCTTTATAGAGGCCTGGGACTACTTCTTTTCCATTTTAAAACATTATTATAAAGACTATTACAGCCCTATTATGCTGAAATACATTAACCATAAATCTGGTAATAGTTTCAATTAAGTAAAGGAAAAGGAGAAATTGTGGCATTTCTCGAATTTCTGAGGGCTAGAAGGGAAGAAAAGAGTATGTTTACTGGGACCAGCTGCTCTGAACGTGGAGGGGTATGAAGTGCTTTGTCAGCACTAGGGACAGAAAGTCCCTTCAGGATGCCTCAGTATATTCATGTAAACTAGGGACAGAGGAAAGAAGACGACTGGAACTCCAGTATTTTTTTTTCATGCAGAAAAATTTTAATGCATTAAGAAAAGGAATTAGCACAGATACAGAAAGATTATAGTTTTGGGATAATGGAAAGAGCTACAGAAGATGAGTCATTGCACTATGCTGTACAGAACATTCCTTTTTGTTAAAGCTGTGTTGTTCATCCTTTAGGTACTTGTAAATCCAGATCAAAGGAGAGACAGCTGTAATACTTCTCCATTACGCAGTACTGCAGCACCTTACTGGAAGTAGTTATTGCAAATGCAGATGACACAAAAGCTAATTTTGCAGAAGTCCTTTAACACTGCTGCAGCAACTGTAAGAAGCTTCAAACGAATTGCAGATCGTTGTTCCCGTTGCCGAAGGGGTGTAAAGGGGTTTAAATGCAGGAGACTATCAAGAGAGAACTCATAGTTGAGAAACACAGGAAGAAGCAGACAGAAAGAACAAGAAAAATACAAATGCCAAGAAATTTTTAGAGAGCAGCCGAGCTCCCCATTCTCAGTAACTTCAGTTGCTGTGTCACGGGGGGCTCAGCGCTTCTGTAAACATCGCCTCTGAGATTAGCCGTTCATCTTTGCTTGCCGGGTCGGGGTTGATTCTTAGTGCAGGGATATTGCCACTGGGTTTAGCAGCAAGGGTAGCAGCAGCTGTAGCTGTAATTGCAGCAGGAAGGGTAGTAGTATCGGGTCCTATATGTGGACTTGTAGCTACAGCAGTCTCTGTAGCGGTAGCTGCAGGGGCTGCAGCAGCTGTAGCAGCTGTAGCATGGGTAGCAGCACACGGTCCTGTAGCAGGGCGAGCAGCACACACTGTAGCGGGAGTACCCGTGGCAGCAAGACATCTTGGTGTGGCGGAGGGGAGGCAGGCAAACCTGAAACAAAGCAGCAGGTAAGGGGTAGGCTCAGCTTGCAGGGAACAGCAGCAGCGGTGGCTTGGTGGCATGAGTATGGTGGATTTGGAAAGAAATATTGAGCAAATCCCTCAGTCTTTGGATGTGATTTTTATCCAGCCCCTTTCTGTGCTCCCTTCTTGTTACATTCGACTGTGAGAGACAGTTTCTATTCTTTAGCTTCTCCTTTTAAAAGTGAATGTAATACCCTGTATTTTTGGACTTTGGATTCAGGAGGTTCAGCTTGCAGATATACACCCAAATGTATGTGTTCATGAGCATTTGGTGTCCAAGCTCCCAGCACAGGCGGCTGAGGTCAATCCTGACAGCTAGTCTGCGGCTCAGGACATGCACGTGTGGGTGTCCTAATGTCTGACCTGAATCCCACACAGCATTTTCAAAAGTTTTCAGAAGCATTCATACACACCATGACAAGTTCATTAAAGTCAGCCTCCTTGTCTGGTTTTAACCTTGGCATATAAACTATTCCTTTTCCTGGGTAACATTGGTTCACACGCTTTGTTAGTGCCAGTTCTAGCCAGGATACTGAAAATACTCTGCTACACAGTGAAGAGCTAAGGTTTAAATCCTCTGTTGCTGCAGATCAGAGCTGCTCCAGTGACTTCAGAGAGTCTAAAGCAATTCATGTAACCTGTCCATATACATTATTGCAACATCTTTCCATCAAAAAGCCATTTCCACTTTGTGTAATGAACAGCCATGAACCAAAATTTCAGTGTTAAGTATCATCAAGTAAAAAAAGAAAAGTTCTGTTCTTCTAGAAAGAAGTAGAGCTGTTGCTTTCTCTTATGTGAAGACAAAACTTCTTCCTAGGCTTCACATCTTACCACTGATATCTGAATATTCATTCATCAATGTCCCCACTTTTTTTACTACACAGATTAAAAGCATACAGGATAAAATACCTCTACCACTGCTAAGAATCAGCGAATGCTAGTAAAGGACCTATTCCCAAGTTAAAGGAATGTCTATGAGAACAGGATCTGAACTTACCAAGTTCACCGAGGAGAGTAAACCAAGAGGAGCGATGTGAGGACTGCAGGGTTGTGAGCGCTTTTATACGATTTCTTAGACCTGTGGAAGTCAGTGCAATTCTCCGTGTGCTTCCATTGCCTGTTAGTCACAAAACAAATTTCGGAAGTACATCACCAGTCCAATTGCTATAATTGTTTTCCTCCACATTCAGGACAATTTTAAAATTCCTTTTTAAATTCACCACATTGTGATTACACCCTGTGAGATTCTTTCATCTTAAAACTTTCTAGGACAAATGGGTTTCTGCGAATTCACCCAAAGGACAACTGGGAATGAAACTGGAGGATACACAGAACAGTTCCAGCTACACTGTCTGCCTAGCTGGGGACCCCATAAACTGTTCCTTTATGTTATGCCCCTACAAGGGGGGTAGATACTGCACATTGTGGGGTGATGTAGAATACCTGAAGAGGAAAGAGGCATTATACCAGGTCCTTAGGGCTTTTACCAACCATTTTGATTCATTTCCGTCGCAATTAATGACAGGCATTCCATTGATTCCTTTAGGATCTTCTACTGTCTATAATTTGGCATACGCACTATGAGAAGTTCAGGCCAAGGCATACGATCAATTCAATGAGCATCTGAGCAATGTGTCTAAGACATACAGTCTGTTTTTTTACTTTTTGTCTCTCTTTTCTGGATGAAATTCTTAGAAAATCTTGCTCGAATCAATGTCTTGTGATATCACACACACATATGATATATTTGTATGAGAGAGAGAGATATATATATGAGATACAT